CGGTCGATAGTACTGGATAGGTAACAATACCATCCAGTATATTATAAAAGTTTATTCAGTCTACCACTCAAAGGGAACTAAAACCTTTACGCGTTTGATATCGTTTAAATTTAGAGTGGAATTAGGTATGCCATTGGAGGTTGACATTTTGGGTGGCGTTTTAGGTGGGGAGGTTGCTATTCAGGGTTAGGGTTTCTGTTCTCAACCAATCGCTCCAGAGCGCGAACAGATTAAGGGAGTTAGATAATAGTAATAATAATAATCTCTCATACTCGCATGCAACCTTTGCAAGTGACAGGGAAAACTTTCTAAAATTTAGCCCTATCGGTAAGATGGGTATACCGGGGTGGGGGACACGGGATTCGAACCCATAACCTCTCGCTTTCCAGCAAGAGGCAAGCAGACAGCATACGCTGTAAGGGCATTAGAAGTAGTAGTGGCTCACCTTTCAATGCATACTCAACTCCTACATCAATTAAATTGCATCTATTTTTCCCCATGAGAACACGAATGTCTTTCGATTGTAAAGACCACCCCACCTGTTCAAAATACCTACCTAGCCCATTGATAATGCCCAGTAATACTCCCTCGTTGATTCCTCTCTAGACATTTACCGTTAGCGGTTGGCATTGGATATCGTCGGTGTCTTTTTGTTGGGGTGATACAGTTTCAGGGTCAGGGTTTCTCTGAGCGCCAAACACAGCAAGCGCTGAAATAATATCAAAGTACCAAACAGTGATCGAAAAGGAGAATCAATATAGAGTATAAGGAAAAGGAATTTCAGACGGAAAATAGCAAATGAACGGTAAATGAACACAAAAAGCACACAAATGAGGTCGCGGCCAAAACACACAGCAAAGGCAAAGGGAAAGAAGGCAAAAGGATAAAGCTATACATATCCAAAAAATCTACCTACGAGCATACCTCAATAGTACAACCTATCACAGACAGAACCCAGGACAACATGTTTATATATTAATAATATCACAGAGCGGGAATAAGTTAGCTTGTGCCCTCGGAGCTGGAATATCCTTCAATAAACCAACGATTCGCAGTAACAGGAAATATCGTCCATGAACCATAAATTAGGGCGGCAACTCTTAATATTCTTGCCTCATTAAAACTTTTCTTCTAGCTGTGCTTACGGAGGTTCTTATTGAATTAAAAAAAAAAGGGGGGGGGGGGGGGGCGCACGGAGTGTAAATGATTGAAATACCGAAATGTACTAACTGCGAATAAGGTGTCCTAATAATTCTGATTATGTTTCCGCTTCTATACAGACTCTAACAGAGTCACGGCTTGAGTCAAGAACTCTCAGTGGCTATACTAGTAGTTCATTTCGCTCTACAATGTCCTGAGAAAAGGGATCATGGAGTATCACTCGAATATACTGGATCTTCAAGTCTCACTCGGTTTTGAAATTCTGAGCAGCACTCGAATTTCAAACATAGAAATCGTTTCGCTACAGTGACTGTTGCGGCAGGATGTGGTCATATTCAGACAAAGATGTTCGCATTCTGGAAGGGATATCAACAAAAGGGAACAGCCCCGGGTGGGAGGGGTCTAAGCTTTCCCGGAAGGACTGTATGTTGACAAAGTAGTATTTCAGTAACTGAACTGCACGATGTTAAACATCGCAGAGGAATCCCGTCGATTAGAGCGAGTAAATCCATAAACCTCAACCCAGTGTTATCATCTGTTAAAACAATCGAAAAATACTGAACATGTGGTGCCCGCCAGGGTTAGGGTTGCTTGAGTTTATTCTCGAGTTATTTGGGCAGATTTTATGTCCTGTGGTAGGTCTCAAAACTGGGTGGGAGTCTTTTCAGTTTTGTCTCCTTGCTATTCTCGCCGGTATTACATGGGCTCGGTCTCTAGATAAAGTCTCAAGCTATCTCGTCTCGTGCCCATCACTATCTATATCTCCAAGGGCAATGTCAGAATTCGCAACAGAGTAGTCCGTCGGCCCGTCGGTCCCGTCGGTCCCAGAGGTCAGAGCCAGGTCTACTAAAAACCCTACTTAATCTTAAGTAGGTCCCAGAGACTAACTACTGATTATGGGGCTAGGACCACTGACTATGGGACTAGGACTACTTGGATTACAGGGATATAGCCTGGCATAGAGTACGGTGTTGCTATTTGGATATCTACAGTCCTGCATAGACATCTACAAACTCGGATTGATATCCACATGTAGTCCTAGTACTTATCTACTGTCTGCAAGGCTCAACAATTTTCCAACGCACAATTTGCGTATATAAGCCCAATATATTAAGTCTCCAACACTTGTACACCGATATGGTTGCGGGAAGAGACTGAGAAGTGTGGTACTGTCATAGACTACGGTCTGCATACAGTTAGTGAGTAGAAAGAAAAAAAGAAGAAAAAAACTGTATAGTCGCCAAAACCGAGTGATAGCCTATGACCCTTTAGATATGTATAGTCCGGCGACTTATCTATGGTCCTGGCAGAATGGGGGACTAGCTGTGCACGACCATATAGTCCGTCCCGTCGCCCCTCACCCACTGATGTCGAGATATAGGCTCACCCGATTGACTATCATAAGCAGATAGCGTTACATCTTCGCCAATGGGTAGTTAGGGCGGATGGGCAACGCAATAATTTAATAGTGAGTGGATGGGTTACCCATTTGTTCAATACGAGGTCCAGAAAAAACAAGATTTGCTTTCTCTTTAACATGCTCTTATCCAAGATGACGCCTCTGTTGGGGTCATTGGGGCTGGGTCGGGAGTGGCACAGTAGGTTTTTGGTCATTGTCAATATAATAGTGATGGGCATGAGACGAGGTGAGAAATCCACGGGTCAAAACAGGTCCCGAGCATTACCTCGAGACTTCCAAATCGGGTCTTGTCTTGTCAGCCAATAGGTTTTCCCTGGCCCGTATTGTCAAAGTTCATTAAGCTCCGTACGGTATCAACCCTCGTTCGGTTTCGTCGCCAGATTAACTACCGTTTGGGTGTCCAAAAGGCGGCGGGGGTGGCTGCTGAGTAATTCTTGTGTATATCAGCGGGCGGCGCATCCTGAAGCAGACACGCGGTACGGTGAGGGCGATATTAAAGGATTTGATAACATTACAGTTTGGACCGGCGATCTTTGGTGGCGTGGAAAAGGACATCTAGATCTCCGTTTATATTTTATATATCCGAGTCATTCACTGTTGCTGAATGGACACGCAAACTAAGTCCTGACCGGACGGATACGATGTAATAGCTCTTGATACCATACGGAGCATCAGTGATTCACAAAAATAAGTTGCATCTGCGAACCGGGTAGGTATTTCATCTAATATCGGTAAACGTGCAACCTATCCATTTGTCACTACCTGTCTGTGAACAGGGTGGGTCATACCATTATCTGTGTTTGCGGTAGGGCGTAGGTTTAGCTGTACAAACCGGGACAAAACTAAATAATAGACATTTAGTAAAGTTAGAGCTTTAGGCAATGGTGATGCACCCTAAACCCGTACAAAACCAACTGAGTGGATGGTACGGAATATTTTTTTTCCGCCGCCCTAGGTAAAGCCTTTGCCCTGACGGACCGAACCGACAGAGTCATTATCAGCCGCCTCAGAACAGGCCATATAGCCATCAATAGATACCTAAAAAGAATAGGAAAAATCGAAAGCGCCGAATGCGAATGCGGCAAAGGAGAGCAGAGTGTGGCCCACATACTCACCGAATGTGATGCAGCAGCCGAAACCGCAAAACCTTTAAAGAACACAATACGGTCATTAAACTCCTTTGGAAGGCAAGTGGCATAGAAGCAGCTACAAAAATTTGGAAACAGTTTTCGAGAGAAACTGACAAGACTAGAGCGCAGAAGAGGAGAGAAGGGAACTAGGTACGGTGGGGACGCTGAAAGATGCGGGAAACGAGGAATAGAACAAAAAGAGGGCTTTAGTGTTTTCATTTCCTATGTTAGAAATACGTGAGAGGAGACGGAAGAGAAGGGGCAGTTCAGGGGTATTGCCATAACTGTAAAGTTGCATGCAATTAATGAATTAAACAAAAAAACAAAAGAGCATTTGCCCTGAAACAACCGTCAAGAACCCTAACCCACATACCATTCAAATAAATAGTATTACAGTCGACTCTCGCTATAAAGGTACTGGTTGCAAAGGTAATCGTCTTGTAAGGGTAGAAATTTGAGTTTCATATATTTTCTGTGTAAAAAGAAGGGTAAATCCCCAAATACTTGCTAGAAGAGTACCTTAACGGATTTTGGTGATTACCTTTATAAGTAGAGTAGGTTAGGTTGAGAGAGGGCGAAATTACCCAGCCCAACATATTTTCAGTGTTAAACATTGAAAAAGTTAGAAGTAAAACATCATTTCAAAGCCGCATTCAACATCCAAAGCTCTTTTAAATGTCTTCTTTTGTCACTCCCGCCAATTCTATTGAGAGGGACACCTTTGTACCGAATTAGGCCAAAAAAAGGCAAGCCTTTACGGAAGGGGAAAAAAATGCTATTTGCGCTTGAGTGAATGACCAGTACGCCAGAACCAGGAAACAACCTACATGGCAGTGTATTGCTCAATAGTTTAAAGAAAAATATAAGGGAAAGATCATCTCTCAGTCAACGACTAGCAGTGTTTTGTTGAAGCGTTCCGCCGATTCAGCTCTGCTCAGTCAACCTGCCTTTGGCCCAGAAATAAAACGGCGCAGGAATGTCGCCTGGCCGCAACTGGATTCGGTTTTGTTTGAATGGTATGAAAGATTACAGAGAAGGACAACCATAACCGGTTTAGTTTTAAAGGAAAAGGCTCGGGAATTTTTTGAAGTTCTTTACCCTGGTATGTTTATAAAGTGCAAAAGTGAAATTATTTCAGATACTGACTGTAGACGGTAGGCGTTACACCTCCTATGTTTTCAGAAGGCTGGCTCGATACTTGGAAAAAAAGACATGGTATCAAACAATTCGTACAACATGGTGAATCGGGCGATGCTGTTGCAAAAGGCTGTGTTTTGGGCCTCAATCAAATGAATTCCGTCAGGGAAATATTGAGATCATATGACTTGGAAGACGTTTACAACTTCGACGAAACAGGTTATTACTACCGCATGCAACCAGATAGACGTCTCAGCACTGAAGTATTGGAGGGGGTCAAAAAAGATAAATCAAGAATTACTGTATGGTTCACCTGCAATGGTACCGGATCCCATAAGATGAAAATGTGGGTGATTGGTACAGCGGAGAACCCATATTGCTTCAGAGGACTTGCACGTACTGCTGAATGGCTTGGTGTCTTCTATCGTTACAACAAGACTGCTTGGATGAAGCATGAAATTATGATGGAGTATCTATTATGGTTTGAGAGTTGCATGAACGGTAGAAGAGTGGTTTTACTTATGGATAACTTTTCGGCACATGAACTCGCTGTTAAACAATTAGGGGAACATGCACTTCGCAATACAACAATTGTATGGCTTCCAGCAAATACTACTTCGGTCTGGCAACCCTTGTACCAAGGTGACATCAACTCATGGAAAGCACATACCAGGCGTTACTATGTACGCTATCTTGTCAAAGAGATTCACAAACTACCAGGAGGCCCAGCATCATCTGATGAGCTGCCAAAAGTCAATATCCTACAGGCTATTCGGTGGGCTATTGAGGCATGGAATTTTGACGTCAAAGCATCGACCATCTTTAACTGCTTCACAAAAAGTACTGTCAAGTTCTTTGAACCTTCCTTTCTTTCTCCCGAGAATTTGGAATCAATCAAAATTGCCAATCCTGGCCGAATCCTTACAGAGTTCATACAATTTGAAGAAGAGGAAATTGAGAACGAACAGCCACCTGTTCCTTCATTCCGTACTCAAAGTTTGGATATAGATGAAGATCCATCAGCAAATGAAGAAATGCAACACTTGCGGAACGAGGTACAGACAAATCTTGAAATCCTACAACAAGCAAATCTCATCGAGGAAGGTGAAATCAATCTAAATCATTTTCTAAATCCATCCGAAGAGATTTTTGATGATAGCATAGAGGACTTAGAGGTAAGACAGAATTATTCAAATGAAAAATGATATCAGCTAATCATATTAGTTATATGTTCTTGAACTTCACGGTTCAATCAATAAGCATAACTCAAACAATTCAACAAAACTTACAACGACAGTCAATACTGAACCCGAAATGAGTCCTGATACAGGAAATACTAGCAATCAATTGCAATCCACCAACTCTTGTATCAATCACTTTGAAGCAATTGAATCACTCGAGCACTTGGAGCAATTCTATACCAAGAATGGCGACCCATACCATGACAAGCAAAATGGCAATAACCCGACTCTCACACATCTAAGAAACTTAAGCGCAGTACTGAGAATATGCGGTTACAATCAATGGGGGCGCAGGAGCAGAAGAAAATCTCGAATTTTTTCAAAGCTTAATAGTGGCCGGGAGTTAGAACTGGTAAGGAAAATACAAGCAGAAATGCATATACAGTTTGATATTACCTCTACTAACAAACAATAATAGTTATAATTAGCTAGTAGATACCCGAAATACACCTTTAGTATCTACTGAATCACTCACAAATATCAGCTAATTCATAGTTTCTATTTTTGTTCATCTATCATCAAAAGAAATCCACCCGTGCTTTTGCTCATACCAGCATTACCTTATCTTCAACACCCTTTACCCCTTATAAATAACCACGAATAATTTCGCTTTACTAGTGACCACCTCCATATAATTCTATAATACCTACTGGATCATTCCTAATTCGTAGCTAATCAATAGCTCCTCTCGTTGTTGAGATATTCCCAAAAGAAACCTGCTTCGTGACTTTTGGTTAGGTAACCCTAACCCTGCATCCTATAAGAGTACCCCCTCTAAAAGGGTAACGCCATACCCCATTTCTCGCACTTTTCGCACCCTTATAGGGAGAGTCGACTGTACCGATTTTGGGAGAGGTAGCTAAACATTTAGTACGATTGGAGTCCCTCGTGGTACAGGTAGTAAAGTACGATGACGTTTTTATACTGGTTTCTACGATTACAAACACTGGCCGTTATAGCCCTCGGGGGAGTACCATTATTATTTATGTGGGAAAACAACCAACCTGACTATTGCGAGCACTACATGATAATCAGAGGATCCTATAATGATGGAGCAACTGATATTCACCGCGGGTTACTCTCCGGCAGTCCGGCAATATACGGGGTTATTGCCTCCATGCTCTCCGCAATAGGGAGATTAAGAAACGATGAATTATTATGTCGTGTAGCAGGGGTCAGTGCTAGTGTTACGCAGCCAACGCCCGCAACTCAACAGTTCTCTCAACCTACCCTGCGAATAGGAAATAACTCCCTAGTTTATTTTGGCGATTGCACAGATAGATACATGCATCTTATCCAATGTGCTCTACATACTGACTCCATGTCTGTGAGGAGAGTTAACCAGTAAGCAACATATTCCCGCCTAGGAATATTTACTAAATTTAAGATATCACAACGACCAAGCAATCTAACCCGTTTCCAAAAAAAGCATTTCGCTCAGTATTGACGGTCTGCTCAGTGTGCGGGGCGAGAAGGGAGTTATATTTTCTGAAGAGTTGAGCATTGGGGCCTCTCCTAAGGTGCTTCCAGGAGATATCATGGCTTTTGAGGAGGGAAACCAGGTTGAATCTTTCAGTGGAGCTTTGCAACTAGATGATGTGGCTTTATCAGAAGAGAGACTTGCGGATTCCTTAAAGTATATGGAGGGTCACATAGCTGCGCTGTCAACAAGGGAGCGGCTTCTTTCATCTGACAGGAAGAAGAATGTTTACATCAAAGATATCGAAGCTCAGACAGTGCTCGCTTAGCTCTGTTGCACGCTTTGCGGATGTGTGCGATGGCAGGGGGGGTTCTGTGGATAAGAGATGGGTGTGGATTGGGTATGAATAGGAGTGGAGTTGCGTTTAGGGATACAGACGGGCTACATATCACACCCAGGCAGAGATATTACACGGAGTTCGTCGGTTAGAACTGGGGTTCTTCTCATTGATTCCAGTAAATCTTGTTCTAGATGAATTATATTTCAAACTCTCCGTCAGGATTGTAAATCGCGTACTTTTTATAACTTTTCAGCTCCGGCAATGAATCCTTTACCTATTTTTGTAAACAATGCATCGAAGAAACATTAGCCCTCAACTGGCCGAGTGAGGTAGTCTGACGAGTTAATAATGTGAGAAGGTTATTCCTGCATCGTCAAGTTCTCCAGTATTTAACTGCTGTCCCCGAAACCTTTGATAAGCCTGGGATCAATCGCAACCCCCTAAGGTGCACATTCCCGAATCGCTCCCCTGCTGCAGCTGATGTATGATATAAGTAGTGTTCTCCACAACACTGTTCGATACCAAAGCCCGGTCTCGTCTCATCTTGCCCGTCTCGAGATGGGCTTGAGAAACCCAGTGAGACCCTGTGAACATATACATCGCGTATGATCCTATACTTTGCGGGTGATCGTCGTTATGCAGAGCTGTCCAACTAGGCCCCAATGCTTCGTTATATTGTTATGGCCCGTTTTATGAGCTGAATTCGATCATGATAAGGATTATTCCGCTGCGGCAATGCACAAACCTCATAAGTTAGTTTAAGAGAACTTCAATTTCTGTAATAGATTCTATAACATTCCGCTAATAGATGTCAGGCTTTACTCATCTATCAAAATACGGGTCAGATCTGCATCATCCAATCCCTCTTCCTCAATCTCCCAAGCTTGTATCCCTGGTAACACAGCCAACTTTTGATTAAGAGCAGAGCTGGGGCTGATGCCTCCATTCTATTCCTCTTCTTAGTGATAATATCTCCGGCTCTAATTTCTATAATTTAGTTTCTAGAAATGATGAGGATACGGAACTAAATGCAAGATTTATCTTGAGGACAGCTGCTCCGCTGGAACACTACTGGCAGGAATTGAGAGGTAGTCACGGGCCATTTAAGACAGATTGGGGAACCTGCCCTCATGTACCTTCCACCATGTTGTCAGATCTGCTGTTCTATCTGCTCTTGCCTCAATCAAATACTGAGTGGATTCCGGAAGAGTTATTTCCGCTACATCAAATTCATCCTCTTCTTCAGACCTGAAAAGTATATTAGGATATTGATAGATCTGTTAAGATTTATCAGATCGGACAGACCTATACTTGATCATATAGGTACTGAAGACTCCCGGGTACTTAGGTCTTCTTTCTCGTTCGGAGCAGGCTGAGGTGAGTATTTTGCTGTGTAAATTCGTTCTAGATTTTTTGTTGTTATATTAATGTATGGTTGTGACCATACAAGCTGACGGAGTACGCTAGTCTTGCAGCGGGGGGTCAAAAAGAATTGCAATAGCGGGTGCAGATTGGTCGTCAGTTTTATTCCAATAGTTGTTCAATAATTTCCATGATTCACAGCATGCGTTAAAGAGAGATTTGTCTCTTGATGTTCCCTCTCTATCTTTCGCGTTTTTGATATCCCGGAGAAGCATCTCATAATATGGCAGTTGAAGAGCTAAAGTAGGATACTTCTTCCCACTTAGGTCCTGGGTAGCTGTGTTACTGTATTCTATTTGGTTTCTATAAGTGTGTATGGTTTCAGTTTTTACTCGAGGGCTGTCATTCGATCGATAGCAGGACGTAGGTAAATAAATCGTTCCAACATGGTATATCTAGAATTCCATCTGTCAAACGATAAGTAAATATCATTCCAAAAGTACTCGTAAAATAATATAAGAATAGATATACCTCATGCGCATATCCAATGGTGGCTTTAGATTTTTGAGGTTCATAACAAGACACCCCGTTGTGGAGCTTCTAATAGCAGATTGGAAGCCCGAACTTTTGAAAGAATACGTCGGATCTTTTTAAAAACCCCAGAGGGGGAGGATTCAACTGGGATATTTCCCCACCTCCTGCTAGAACAACTTCAGGTATATCTGCTTCCCCTTTCAGAATGACTAGAATCTTCTGCGCGGCAAGGTTTTTGTTTTTTTTGTGTAATTCATTAATTGCATGCATGCGCAGCAAGGTTAATAATATGAGCCATGCATCGTATTTGGCCATCTTTCCTCAACCAATCTCCGAAAAAGTAATCTCTCTAGTACTTTAAACAGTTTGTCGTTTACTATTGCATTATCCGCCGTTATACATAGGAGATACCCGGTGAGATTGAATTCTTTTAACACATCAGCCACAACCTCAGCCAGGTTATATGCTGTATGTGACCCTCTCAAACGTCGGAATCCGAGAACACAGTCATATAAATTATAGGCCGAATCCATACAATGAACTGTTATACCAAGGTATGGTATTTATTACTTAAAGTCCAAGCATCGAGAGTCAAATTGACATTACCACCGCTGCCAACATGTCGTTGAAGTCTGCTTTTGATATCTGATAGGAGTTGGTCGTGCATTTTTTGTATATCGCGGCGAAGAGTATTCGAACTGACAGATACCGTCTGAGAATTACAGTACTGTAATAAAGATCGGAATGACTTTGACTCAAGAATGCTGAAGGGTGAGTTTGTATCCACTATAAATTCAGCAAGAAGCCGTCTATATATATCACCGGTACTGTTCATGATATACGCGGGAGTAATAACCGACCCTCAACATCACTAAAAGAATTCAACACAACATACATCGATGACAATGCCCTTGTGCAAATAGCCAATCCCCAACTTTCATCACCAAGAGACTAGAAGAGAGGATAATAGAGAGAATCACCAAAGCGAAACCGCTAAATATCAAATACGAACCAGAAATCAGACCTCAGGCTGGTCTTCTTGAAACCATCAAAAGCCCGACAAACAACAAACACAGTCACTGGTTTGAAAACAACGGTACAACCAAAAAACAAACTCCAGTATGTGGAAGTGTGGCTAGAGGCCAATTTCTCATTCCAACCCATATCGAAGAAACTATTTCAAACTTGAATGGCCTCCGAGCCTTTATAAAATCAGAAATATTGCCCTCTCCCCAGGGAGCACCGTCCGGACCATCCATAACCTGGTCAGACATAGATTCCTCTCAACTATACTGTGGGTCAGGGGCATGTTGGACAGGCACAGACCACATCATCCACTCATTCTCCCCACTATACAAAGAAGCAGCCCTCCCCCGACTAGAACACCTCCTGCACCACAAATCCAAGAAATATGACATGAGAAAACTATGTTCCCCAGCAGACAACCCAAATAACGAAACCTCATGAGCCTATTACCACCCAATAGAGCCTCTGGCAACATTAAAGGCACAGGCCTCTACCAAATTGCATCCCTCATGCTCCCATTCCAGGAAGCAGAAAACAGAAGTGAACTATGGATACAAAATGACCTCCATGCCAAATGAATGTTGGATGAATGAAATTTCCACCCTACCATCAACTTCAACCACTCCAGCAACTTGAACCTAAAACCACACCACAAAATCTTGAAACTCCCCTTATCGAAAGCAAAACTCGTATGCAGAATCCGATATCAACCACCGGGATGGACAGACATGCAGCATATACCGAACCAGAATCATTCCAATGTGGGATAGAACAGTCAGCCAAACCTACTCTCCTCGAGTGTCCACAATGGTCCCAAATTTGAGACCACTCATCGACAAAATCCCAGGCCCAGCTACATTGGAACACTGGATGTTCACAAATCAAAACATCGATCTAATATTGCAATTCGCAACAAAAACACAACTACTTAACTGGTACGAACTGGATGAAGGAGAGGAGGGTTAGTTTTCCTTATGGCTCGCGTTCATGATACTACTTTTCATATCTAACGACTTTCTTTGCCTTTCTGTTTCTTTCGATTTTCCCTTGTCTTTCCCTTTGTTTTTGGCAGAGGAGGGCATGCGACAGGTCCTGTACTTCAAAGCAATATAAAAACTATCTATCTATCTATCTTCTGTATTTAAGCTATCTATCACTATACAATTACTACTTCCTCTATCATCTCAAGGAGACCATCACACTGTTATTTCCTTGACCCGTTTACCCTCACCGATACTAGAGTCCTAACTCGGATTGCTATCACAGGACTAACCTGCCAGCCTCTACTTCCACTCCACATACCCTGCTGAATACTCGTTACTCGCCCCTTGAGATTTTACAATGGCAGCATTGGATTCTGTGTCTTTTGAGGGCCATCTCACTCTCTGTGGGAAATTCTCTTAGGTGTGGTTCAGGTAAAATTCAAGATTCTCTGATAATCATCCTGCGCGAATATATATATGCACTGAATCTCCCATGCGAGTTCTGCCTACCCGATACCGTGTTTGTAGATTGCAATTTATCTATATAATCTTTCAGTACAACGGGCAGAGTTCTATGGGAAATTTGGTCCTACCCCAACTTCCTGCTAAACGGTTCCGCAGACTTTGTATTTCATCTTCCATTGTAATATCGGGGCATTTGGTGGAGTATCCTATAGAAGGTCCTCATACAAAGCAATTGCTGGCGGGCTTGAATGGAGATGATTCGAGAATGAAGTAGACATTTACTATAGGATATGCGTCTCATGAACCTCCGGGCCATTTCAAATCAGCGAATCGATACCGGAGAAAATGTAAATTTAGGGTTGTTACATACTCTGAGGACTTGCGTTAAAACGACTTTTTTGCCTAGATTCCGAATCTGTAATCAGATATCATCTCGATCCCACAATATGGAAACTTAAAGCTCATCATTACCAACATTGAATAAGCGTGTTGAGACCGGATTTTGCGCAGATTCCAAATCTCCAACCGGATCGTGTCTACGCTGCCTGGTTGTCGAGATATTCCAGGATTTGATATCTTGAATTTGAGTCCGTAGGAGTGGAGAAAGAACCGGTTGCA